GAAGACGTTCGGTGCAACCTCTACAATAATAGGCAGCCTCCAAAAGCCATTGGTCAAGCTGCTGGTCTTGCAGACACCTGCTCGCTTGCTGTGGAACAAGTGCAATATGGCAAACACAATCGTCTGTTAGGACAAACAGTGAGATCTCCGACAGTAGCCAGAGCATGTGTACCAAATGCGTACAGCTGGAAAAGGCATCAAAATCAACTTATTGGTGCGAAATTTACACGAGGCAAACACGCATAATCTAGTATGTCCAAAGCAAAAGGAAAACCCAGCAAAGTAAAGCAAAATTTGCTAGGCGTCTGTGGGTACAGCCAAGGTGATTCGGCCACTACAGTTGTTCCCACGGATGCTGTGCTTGGAACTAGTGCGCGCATGGTTTTCGCCGCATCCAAATAACTCTGCGTCGTCTCATTTGACGACAAGGCGTAAAAGCATAACATACCTACCGCGTGCCGTCAACAGACACGCAATGCCATGGAATGTAGCCGCCGTAGTTAATCTAAGGCATAGAATTCTCCAGCATAACTTTGCAGTAACTTGATACCAACTAAGGAAAGCACGCGGGCATGAAGAATAGGAGTCGCACCTCCAGCTGCACACGCGCAACCGTAAAGGTACCTTCGCTTTCTAACAAAGTGCTTACATGCTCTACCTCACTAACTGGCTCGACCTGACTCCCATGGCCCACATGCTATGGATCACGCCTGGTAATACGCACGCCGTATTCCGTTAACCCGAAATTTCTGATTTCACGTGTCTGACGAAACGACTTCAACCTTAATGACGCCACATCCTGTACCGCATTAAGCCTTCGATTAACCGGATAAACGCAAGGCTTTCCCTACTGAAACACCTGCGTAGGCCTCAAGCAGGTCAATTTCATAATACTTGCCTTTCAGCCCCACGAAAAATCGGGCCATGCGCGTTAAACCTCCCTACATGCCTCGTAACCATCAGTTGTCATGCAACGATAAGTGACGGTAGCATTCTGCGTGGAGGAGGTCACGCAAAGTGCGAAAAGGTACTAGCTAAATAACTCATAACACAATGCACTTACACTGTCCTCATTCCCTAACTATAACGTTTATTAATATAACCTTTAACTAACTCTTACCCTATGTATGACTAAACGAAGAGCGGTCTCGCGTTTGAATCCGGATACCTTCCGACTCTTTTTTACTTCCAATGTCCGCCATATTCTCGAATACGGATTACCTGCCATCTTCCCTATCACCAACTTCGAATGTGATCTCATTGGAACTGTCCACCGGAGGGGATCAACATACATCTTGGAGGTACGGGACATGCCTTATCACTTGAGACTTCAACTGATGAACATATTCTCCCTTGGTGGTCGCCGACGTCGCGGTGAGCTGATTTTCGCTAGGTGCATCCGGAGAGGTGGGATGGTGACGGAGCTGCAGGCGTACTTGAAATTCAAAGCAAACAGTTCAACTTGAAGCCATAACTAAAAACTATTTAAACACAGATGGCTCCGAATTCATCCTGCTCTCGTTGTATCAGCTCGCGTTGTCAAAGATTGGGACGACTTACCAAAGCCTGTGGTCAATGCCTAGACTGAGGAATGTTTCAGGCGAATCTTAGATTCTTTTCTTTTGAAAACGATGCGCCCTTGCAGCTTCCACTGTAGCTGTCACCGTCCCTTGTGGCTTACCGCTTAACATCGGATCGCGACCTCCACACAGCGATGTGGAAGCGGTGGATCTGACAAAGGATTTCTCCCTCTGCTCTCTACAATCCTATGCTTCTATGATCGTATCCAACACATAAACTACGAGTGCATGTTTACACTGACTGTACCAGGCAACCGTCAGAGACAATACTTTACTCGCTTATCATTAGCAGGTCAGATTCAGATTTCAGATTCAGATGGACTGGAACGATAAGAAAATCCCTTGAGTGTTCCCTCTTGAGCAAATCGTGAGCCAGGAAATGATAGGGTGCTAGTTCTTGATAGATCTAAAACGAAACACCCGAAACACACTCTGATCAATCAATTGCTGCCCACGTTCCCTACACTAGCAGTCCGCGCTGTGTAGGTTACGTGAAATAAGAAAGAAGTAGAAAAAATGAAGATAAAGGGGAATGAAAGTAATTTAAATGATGGATAACACCAAAGAGTGAAGAGAATGACAGAAAAGGAACTGAAAGTTTGAAGATGGATATGGTCAGGAGAGGGGAAATATTTCGCGTTGTTACCCAAGAACGTCTAACTGACGCTCGAAACTCTTAACCGTAGGTTCACTAACTACACTTTCTGGAAGCGAGTTCCAGCGCTCGATAACTCTACGCGATTACCGAGTTTCCGCCCTGATCCGGTCAGAACGCATCTTGTGTAGCTTCATGAAATGACCGCGAAAAAAGGTACCCGAGCCTGGCTAAATAGCCAGCTCAAGTCCGGTCCAACCTTCCCTGTTAAAATGCGGTAAGTAAGGATTAGGTCTCCTCGAAGACGTCGGTAGTGCATAGAATACATACCCAAGCTAAGTAGACGCTCGGGGTACGTTTGCCACCGTAACCCCTAGACCAACTTGGTGCCTACTCTCAAAACCCTCTCAAGCTCCATTTTGTCCCAAACAAGGCAGGGCGGGCAAGCCTGGACGCAGTATTCCAGATGGGGCCGGACGAAAGCTGAGAACAGCTTCACAAATACGTCGGTAGTTAAGACCCCGAAAGAACGGTGTAATAACCACAACATTCTGAAACCCCTACTTGCGGCCTTCTTTCAGTTATCACCAGAATGTAAAGACGAGGAATGAACGTCACCTAGGTCTATCTGGTTGGAGACAAGGGGGAGTTCGACCACACCGAGTACGTAGCTCGAAGGCGGGAAAGTTGCTCCTATACGAAGGACGGAACACTTGGCCTGATTTATGGGCAATAGCCACAAAATAGACCAGTCCCAGAGTCCGTCCAGTGCATGCTGTAGGGCCTCAGAACCCCCAGGAACATTTACAACACTCCAGAGCTTAAGGTAGTCAGCAAACAATAAGGATGATACCCCAAGCTCTCCAGGGAAATCGTTTAGCTAGATGGAGAACAGCATCGGTCCAAGGACCGAGCCCTGTGGGACGCCGCTAAGCACCGCTTGCTTAAAGGATACGCCGCGACCCACACGTACACACAGCTCTCTTCCTTGCAAGAACGCAGATACCCAGTGAAGGGCGCGGCCAGATACGCCGGAGGACCTCAGCTTTTGTGATAGCCTCAAGTGAGGTACCTTATCAAATGCTTTCGAGAAGGCTGCGAAAAGAACATCCACTACGTGGCCATTGTCCACTGCCTCCGCCCAAGCTTCACGAGCAACCAACAAATTCGTCAAACATGAAAACCACTTCCAGAATCCATGTTGTGCACTACTGAGTAGATTAAATATATTCAGGTGACATTGCGACGAATATCCCACCAGCTTTTCAAGCAATTTGACCACGACGCTAGTCAGACTAACTGGCCTATAATTGGCTGACAGACTCCTGTCGCCCTTTTTGAAGATAGGACAGATGACAGCCTACTTCCATTGGGAAGGTAATGAACAGCTGTCAAGTGATTTCTGAAACACCATCGTCAGCGGTCCACTCAGTTCCATCGCCAACTCATGCAGAAGTTTCGGGTGAATTGAATCAGGTCCAGCTGCTTTGGAAGGGTTCAGTTCTTGTAGCAGTTTAAGGACTTGCGTTTCCACCAAAGTAAACTCAACCAAATAAGAACCCTCAGGTACTCTGGGGACAGGTTCAAGGCTAGTCAACGCGGCCTCACGTACAAAAGCCCCTGCATACTGCTCCCTAAGTACACGAGCCTTATTTGAGTCGGCATACGCACGAGTTTCACGACCCGCAGCAAACTTGGGATTACCGAAGTTGAACCACAGCGTCTCTTAACATATGCGAAGAACTTCTTCGGCTTTTCCGAAGCTTCATCAGCCAATTCCTTTTCTCATACCAGCCGTGCTTACCTTAAGTGTTGCTTACACCAATTTCCAGCCTTGCGGTATCTATCATAGGTGCTAGTTGATGGAGCCGCACGGTAGGTCCTCCAGCACCTAGAACGCTTCTGGAGCAGGTACTTGCCAATGGTACCTATCCACGGCGGCAGCGCTCGTGTCTCCTTTCTCCTCGCAATCGGGATGAAGGGAGTAGACACTTCCGTGAGATAAGACTTAAATTTATCGCAGGCCGCCTGAACCGTATCAGCCACCGAGATTTCGCAACGCATCCGTGGAGCCTTGATACGCATTGCCTGATAGTTAGCACGCCATATGTTTGGAAATGGCTCAGCAAAGCTCTGGTGACGTCTGGTCAGAGTACACCTGAACGATAAACATGATCACTAGCACCTAAGGGAGAGCAAACACCAGGTCCAAAATAGACGGAAGTAGAGCGTCCGTGTACCTAGTGGGAAGGTCCACAAACTGATACAACGGTACTTGTAGCGTAAGCACAAGTAGATCTGCCCCGAAATTGCCTTCTGCCGAGTTGCAAGAAAGATCTGCCCAGCAAACTTCTGGTAGGTTGAAATCCCCCAGTATCAAACACCTGTTTGCGGATTGGGAGCGAATAAAGTCAAGCACCTCTTTGGACGCACTTCCAGGGCTTCTATACACAAGTACGACTGTAAGTTGAGCTGAGGAAGTGTAAATCACTACCGACAAAGCTTCGACAATTTTATCTGCCGACTGAAACATGTAGGTGCGTGAAACGTCAAGTTCACACCTAACCTAAATAGCAACGCCCCCGACTTGTCGATCAACGAAGCGATCACATCTAAATAGTACGTAACCAGACAGATGTACTTCACCGTCCGTGATGTCCCGAGACAGCCATTTTTCAGTGAATGCGAGTATATCCGGATGAGACCCATCTACAAGCAGACGGCTTGCAGTCGCCTGTTTTCACTTTACCGTCACAAGAAGGATAACGCTCGTTAGACACAAGTTTTTATCGATCTTTGTACCGAACCTAATCTATACTTGGTTCCTGACCTTGTATGTGACCTTGACCTTCCCGTAACTCGGATGGATGAAGGCGTTGTTTGCAGTCGCTTTTCGTTCCTGTGCGCACTCTTTCCTCATGCCGTCCTTTCTGTTTTATGAATTCAAGTTTTTCAAAAGCACGTGAGTACGCTGCATGATATTTGAAGTGTTTAATGTTGTTTTATTATCTCATTTTTTTCTACGAGGCTGGATATTTGTCATTTTTGGTCGCATATACTATCAAGTCGGAGTACTGAAAGCCCTGTTCGCTTACTGGCACCTAAGTCGGGACGCTTTATGCGACGGCCTGTCTCGTCCGCTTATTCTCTTTGTCTTGTCCCTAGGCATGGAAAACCTGAATGCTTTTCGCTGCTTTCCTATGCCGATCCTTTTTATCGGTCGTATTTGTTGCTTTATTGCTTTCTTTTGTCATTAGCTGGTTATCGTATCACCGCCAATGCCATGGCAAAGTTCATCTCTTACTGGTACCATGCACACCCTACCAGCACTTTTCGATACATAAGTTTCTGATTGTCTTAATGAAATCGTCAGTATTTGTCAGCACGTGGTTGTTTTCTCCTCGCATCTGAAATCGTAAATTTCTTATTGAATTTTTTGACCACGACTATGTATTTGTGTGTGTGAAATCACGTATAAAACACTCGCAGCTATTGTCTGTTACTATTCACTTGACTTGCTTCTACCCTGTGCCTTGCGGGCGTTTTAAGACTTCAGTAGTATAACCATCTGTAAATCCGAAAAATCGCATCACTGAACGTATTAGTGCCCTGTATCACATTGAGACGGGGTGTAGATAGCGATTCCAGAATGCAGATCGAGATGCAAAGAGCTTTTATTTCGTGCAGTGATAGGTTCCCTGTTTTCCTAGCTATAATAACGATCTTTGACACTGCTGGCTAAAGAAAGCGGAACAGTGCAGCACAAGAGCAATCGCCTGTTGAAACCCCAACAAGCGCCAAGCAAAAGCGGTGCTCGACTTAAGCGATCGAACTCGACATATGGTTCAACAACATGCACCGATCGCCCAAGTGTATACTGAAAGGGTGCTTTCAGTTGGAATTTTACGGGCAAACCGGGGGAATCTAGACTACTACAGTATCCTTCCTTAGAAGTTACTGTGTAAGCAGTCCTTCGATCTACGTGTCATCATCTGTCCGTGATGAGTTAACCGTCTGCTAGCCAACGTGGCAAAACTTGATACAGCTGCCTTGGGAGAACCATGCAATCGGATCTTAGCGGGCTCCCACTCTTGTCCTCCCTATCGTGTCGAAAGGGAAAACTGTTTGTGGTGGGTAGTGTACATAAAGGTCCGGGTCGCTGACTGAACCAGTTCGTTGTACTTCGAGCGGAATCCAGCGAAATGTGTAACTAAGGAACAACCACCTGACGGAATATATATGGGCAGCAAAGTGGAAATGAACGTAAAAACATAGCTTTACCCAAAAGGGTGTGATACGAAAAGCGTACAAGGCCGTTTTTTGCGTTTTCAAAATGTGTTGCTGTTTGTTTGGTAGTTTCAATACGTTTTAGGCTTTTGTGTTTTGGAAGCTTTTGTGGGAACATAAAAACGGAACATTAGATAGTAACACGTATACTGTACAGGGAATAGCAAACGCATACAAAGTCTGATAAAGGAACTGGAAATTCCAGTTTCATACCACGTCGATTGCCAGTAGCTCGAGTGGGGTTGAGGTCGGTTAAGGCTGTACGCTCCGCTGGAGCGGAGTGGCTGATCTGTTACAGTGCTGGCTGTGATGGCGTAGGCTGAGGTGCCCGTTGCACCGAAGTGTCAGGGTTGTCAAGAAATGCTGGTTTGAGTCAGTCAGTATTGTTTGTTTTGGTTTTATCATCGTAATCAATGGTAAAGTTCTTGTCGGTTCTGCGTGTGACACGGTATGGGCCAGAATAAGTAGGTTGGAGTAGCCGGCGTACGTTGTCGATGCGAATGAACACGTGAGTTCCAGTGGCAAGGCGTTCGTCCTCTGTTCTCTAGATTGCACAGGCTAAAATTGTCGCATGAAATGAACTAAGCGAGCTGCGTGGTCGCCATAGTCGAAAATTGTTGGCGTTCTTGGTGTGACCTTCACCAGGCGAGCGTTGTGTGCAGCCAAAGAGTATCGAAGTTGATGTGGCATGTAAGTCTACTTTACTCTTGTTCCGTATGTCGAAGTATACTAACAGGTCTTCAGATTCACCTGGAACTGGATCGATAGGCAAATCCCTTGAATGTTCTTTTTTGAGCGGTTCGTCGAGCCAGACAATAATAAGGTGTTCCGAGGTCTTGGTGTACAAAGAACGAAACACCCGAACCATACCCTGATCAACCAATCACTGCCCACATTTCCTGCACCAGCAGTACCCGCTGTCTGTCGAATGAAGTAAGAAAGAGGAAAGCAGAACACAGAAGCAAAGGTGGAGATTCTTAACTGAAGGATAATACTAAAGGATAATACTAATACTAAAGAGAGAGAAACATAGAATATGAAGTCAAAGTTGGAAGATGGAATGGTCAAAAGAAGGGAAAGATTTCGTGTTGCCGCCCAAGAGCGTCTGCCACTCAAGGCCCTTAACCGTATGTTCACTGACTACACTTTCTGGTAGAGTTCCAGCACTCGGTAACTCTACGCGATTACCGAGTTTCCGCCCTAACCCGTTCGGAATGCGGCTTGTGTATTTTCATGGGATGACTACGAAGACAGCAATCTAACCGGGCCAAATAGCCAACTCAACGGCGCTCCAACTTTCCAGACTAATATGCGGTAAGTAAGGATTACGTCACCACGAAGCTTTCGGTGGCGCATTGAATACATACCCAAGCTAAGTTGACGCTCAGGGTACATTTGCCTCCGTAACCCCTCGACCAACTTGGTACCGATTCGCAAACCCTCTCGAGCTCCATTTTGTCCCGAACGAGGAAAGGGGGCAAGTCTGGACGCAGTATTCCAGATGGGGCCGTACGAAAGATGAGGGCAGCTTCACAAAGATGTCGGCAGTTAAGACCCCGAAAGAACGGCGTATTAACCACGACATTCAGTAATCCCCACTTTCGGCTTTTTCCATTTGCAAATCGCATGCAAATATGATGGATAGACGACGTCTAGATCTACTTGGTTGGTGGCAATGGAGCGTTCCACCCCACCGAACACGTACCTTGCAGGCAGGACAGTTGTATTTATAAGAAGAACGGAACACTGCCTGATTTTGGACAGTAGCCACCAAGTAGACTAGTCACAGAGCGTGTCCAGGCATTCTAAATGGACTCAGAACCCTATAAGGACATCTAAAACATTCCACAGCTTTAGATCGTCAGAAGGTACTAGTGAGGATGCCACAAGCTCTCCAGGGAAGTCGTTTACGTGGATAGAGAACAGCATCGGTCCAAGGACACAACCCCGTGGGACACCGCTAAAGGCCGTTTGCCTAAAGGACGAACTATGACTCACGCGTGCACATTGTTTTCTTCCCTGTAAGAATGCATACGCCCAGTGAAGGGCGCTTCCAGATGCACCGTAGGAGCTCTGCTTTTGTGATGGCCGCATGTGGGGTACCATGTTAAATGCTTTTGAGAAGTTGACGAAAACACGTCCACTACGTGGCGATTGTTCGCTACCTCAGCGCAAGCTTCACGAGCAATCAGCAACCTCTTTAGACACTATTGAGTAGCTTACATCTACTCAGGTGACCTTCCAACGAATCTCTCACCCGCTTCTTACGCAGTTTGATTACGACGCTAGTCCGCCTAAATGATTTATAATTGGCTAACTGACACCTGTCTCTATTTTTATAGCTAGAACTGCTGACAGCCTCCATCCGTCCGGAAGGCAATAGACAGCTCTCGGGTGATGTTCTAAACACGGTTGCCAGTGACACACTTAGTTCAACTGCCAACTCATGCAAAAGCTTCGGGTGCATTGGATCCGGCCCAGCTACTTTAGTAAGGTACAGCTCTTGTAGCAGCCTAAGGACGCGTTTCCAACACAGTATATTCAGTTAAATAAAGAGACTCTGACTCTGGGGACAAATTCAACGCTAGTCAACGCGGCCTGACGTACAGAAGCCCCTATATACTGCTCAACAACTACATGATGCCTTGTCATACTCGGCATACACGTGAATTCCATGTGCCCGAATCAAAGTTGGAATTGCCGAATTTGAAGCACAGCGTCTCTCAATATAAGCGAAGAACTTCTTCAGATTTTCCGAAGCTCCAACAGTCAATTGCTCTTCGTGCAACGGCCGAGCTTTCCTCCAGTGTTTACATCTATTTCTGGCCTCGCAGTACCTATCATAGTTGCTAGTTGACGGAGCGTCTCGGTAAGTCCTCCAGCACCTAGAACACTTCTGGAGAAGGTACTTGCCAATAGTATCTATCCACGGGGGTCGTGCTCTTGTACCTTTTCTCCTCGCAAGCGGGATGTAGGGAGCAGACACTGCCGTGCGGTAAGACAAATTTACCCGTCTACCTGTACCATATCGGCCACGGAGATTTCGCAATGCAAACCAGAAGCCTTGGTACACATTGCCTGAAAGTCCGCACGCCATATTTTGGGATATGGCTCAGCGATGCCCTGGGGACATGTGGGCAGAGCACAGATGAAGGATAAACAGACATGATCACTGACTCTAAGTCTAGTGACTTGGGAAAGTCTAGGTCTTTGTGCCTAGTGGGGAGCTCTGCGAAGTGATGCAACGGTACTTGCAGCGCAAGCTCTAGAAGATCTGCACCGAAAGTGCCTGCCGCCGAGTTGCAAGGAAGATCTGGCAAACAAACGTCCTGTAGCTTGAAATCATCCAGTATCACAGTTCACAGCTAACATAAAGCACGACGCCCCCACGTTTTTCGGCCAACGGAGCGATCTCATCTAAATTGTGCCTTTCCAGACAGTGAATGCTAGTATATCGGGATGGAACCCATCTACAAACAGACTCATCTAGTACATCTTATTTCTTAGACTGCGCACATTGCTGAGCATTATCTGAAGATATTCGCAATGTCCGGACCTGGATTGTGAGCTACCAGAATGGGCACTGGCAGGGCGACTAAAGACTGCGGCTGACCACCTAACAACCCACCAACCGACGACCCTGTTTACCGGCAGCGCGCCTGATATTGAGATCCT